CCCCCCCCCCCCATCCAGGGTGTCCCCTGCCCAGACTGTCGGGAATAGGCAACCTAGAACCAAAAAGCCAGTAAAGAAAATAGATGAATGTTCCTTTAATCACCTTGACTTGGACACTTGCCTTAACAGTTATAAACGTTCTTTTATGAACTCTGGCTTAGTTTGGAAAATTGTTGTCATAAAATCAAATGCCTCCCACACCTTAGCTTTGATGATGCACAAACACACACACACTGAGGCCAGAGCGGCCATGCATTAGACCATTCTCTGACCGAACAGAGAACATGTTGTTGGCTCCTCAGTGGTCATTGAGGTAATATTTAGGCTGCTGCTGCTTCCTGAATTTCRCACACACTGAGCTCCATTTATCCAAGCACTCCTGTCCGTTAGTGTTCRCTAAAACGTTTTAATTCTTACTTTCCTGTCAGTGAAAAGTCAATGGAAGCTGTACATCCAAGGAGAATTCCTGCTCGGCGGTGCCGTCTCTCGGTGCCAGCTCATTGTCTAACGTCAAGTCTTGTTTTTGCTCTTTTAGTAAAACCGAGGTGTTGGGTGATGACAGCCACAACGCCGACCCTCCGAAAGTTGTGAAGATATTCAACCGTTCCCTGTTGTTTGACTGCGTGTCACGTGGAGACCCCGAGGCCCTCCAGGGCCTGCTGGAGTACCTGCAAAGTCAAGAGAAGAGGCTGACAGATGAGGAGTTTAGAGGTAAAACCTAAACGTTGTCGCTGTCACAAACTCTCTGCTTGAAAGGAAATAATAAAATTTAACTTTTAGCTGTGTGACCTTTGACCTGGTGTGTTTTCTGTGTTTTTTTTTTTTTGGCATTTGGGACGTGAGTGGGAATATGTGGAGCGCTGCCGGTCTTTGTCCTGTTAAACACAGGCCAAAAGGCTTCCTCTGAGTCTGAGGAGTTTTCTCAGGCTCCTAACAGGGAGCAGAGAGAAATCACAGCCAACTGCTGACTGTTGTAGAGAACTGACTGACAGCTGAAAGTTAAAGGCTTGTTTGACCCCCATAAGAACAGTTTGTTCTTAGGAAGCCTGTTTAAGAATATTTATGGAACTCTTGTCACTCTTCTTTTCCTACTTCATTTATAGGAGCAACAGGAACATGTTGTACAGCAGTGAACCCCACAGACAGGGAGCAGTAGGGTTGGGATGTATTTAATTATTTATTTAAGCATGTTTGTATGATGCTTACATTTAATAGACAGGGTCAGAATTGGAAGAAACGAGCATCGAGACTTGAAATCATGAAAAGACGACAAATAACATGAGGGAAGGATGGCAACATAAAATCTGCTGCAGACAACAGCGAAAGATGATTGTTGACCAAATCCATTCAATTTTTTTTCAATTCAATTTCTTTATTCATTTCATTAAAACAAAACAAATACTTTTATTTACAATATACAATAAAAAGATAAATATAAAAAAAAATGAGAAAATTATATAAATTTCAAAATCACAAATAAAATGAAATGAAAGGCAGCAGAGAGAAGAAAAAAATCTTATAATATCTGCCCCTTTTTTCCCAAGAATAAGTTCATATAACAAAAAAATCCATTTTATTAACAAAACAAAAGACAAGAACATCTAATCTCTCCAGAACAACAATTTATATACCTTATACTGTTTCATATTTCTTTAACAATCCAACTTTTATCATTTTCTTAAACGTACACAGAATGATCCTGTAGTTTTTAAATCAGTCCCCAAATTATTCAATAGTTTTATTCCTTGAATTAAAGCACACCGTTCCTTCAAACTAGTTCTGAATTTGGGTTTTACAAATATCTCTGTCCCTTTTAAGGTTGTAACAACGCTTTCTCTTAACAAAATTTACTTGGATGTTTAAAGCTAATGTGTATTTGTGGGCCTTATACATAACATCAAAACAACACATTTTTAAAAGTACAATATTTAGTTTGTGTAATCTCTCTTTGTGCCTAAAATGTCCACCAGAGCCATCCACGGGGAAGACGTGTCTGCCTAAAGCGCTGATGAACCTTTACGGCCGTCAGAACAACACCATCCCGCTGCTGGTGGATATCGCAGAGAAGACTGGAAACCTCAGGGAGTTTATAAATACACCGTTTAGGGATCTGTACTACAGAGGTGAGCTAATAAACACCTGCCGCCACATAAATCTTACAACTTGCTCTCATCGAGTTGAAGCTGGCAGTGGCAGTGCTATTAAGAGCCGATGTGCGCCGGCCAGGCTGAGACCCTAACAAAGGGGAAAAAAGGAAATGCATTATTTAGGATGTGTGTTTACAGCCTGCAAATGAGTACATCCAGGCCTCATTTGTTTGTGAGGTGGCAGGGATCCTTCTCAACTTGTAACACTTATCTGTTCGCTACTTTCTGTCCATTGTTCCTGTTAGCATGATATCCAGTAGCTCCAGTAGCTCTGCATATTTTTTGTGAAATGTTTATGGGTGCTACAACCCCAATAGACCRTTTCATAGTTAAAAATAGCCAAGCCTAGCTTTTCTGGGTCACAGGTCAACTGGATAAAAGCTGAAGTTCCATCCATCCATTATCTAGACCTGCTTCTTCCTTTCAGGGTTACGGGGTCATAGGGGCCCATATCTAGCAGTCACAGTGCAAGGGGCAGAGTACACCCTGGACAGGTCTCCAGTCCATCACAGGGACACACATAGAGACAAACGAGACAATCAACTATTCACTCTCTCACTCAMACCTAGGGACATTTTAGAGTTACCAATTAACCTAACAGTCAAAAGCTGAGGTTGCTATATGAAAACACTGTTGGRATTATGCAAACACAATAAGATCAAAAAGCACGTTTGGATGTTTGTGAAAAATCCCATCTATGATCCTAAAGGAAAGTATAGACTAATCAGTTTAGAGGAAATATATAGGGTCGGTATAACGGTGTAAATTTATCTGTTGAATATGTGCAATTGCAATGGCGTTTTCACAGCAAACTTAGCTTTTTACCAATAAACCTTCTCTAGACGTGAGGACGGCCCACTTCACGCATTTGTAATCATTTCTAACTACGAAATGGTCTATTCCAATGAAGTTGGGATTTTGTGTAAAACAAATAAAAGCAAAAAGAAAAAATAAATTGGTCCTCTGGATGGGTTCTTCTTTAGTGAAACATTTCCAACAATACCAACACAAAGAGGGAAAGAGGGACAAAAACAAGGGGTCGTTGAACCCCCGCTTGCATTCACTACATTCACATAACATGACACAGGTTAGGTGATGGGGCACATGACCCTCTATGAACAATAGAGCCAATCAAGCCTATTGTTAGTCGATGGCCCTATTTTGCATGTGACTAACCTGTTTGTCCACCATGTGGAGGCAGTGCTTATAAGGCTGAGTTCACCTGAAACTCATCAGACTGAAGAAGTGTCTTGGAGGAGAGACGAAACATTTCACTGAAGAAGAACCCATCCAGAGGACCTACTTATTATTTCTTTTTGATTTTTTCTACCTGGATTACTGAGATGCATCAGGACATAAATAAAAGCAGAATATGATGATTTGCAAATCCTTTTCAAGCTGATTCAACTGAATACACCAGAAAGACAAGATACAATGTTCAAATGGATAAAATTTATTGTTCTTTTTTTGTTTTATTTTATTTTTTTGCAAATATTGGCTCATTTTGAATTTCATGTGAATTAAATGGGGTTTTATGAACATAGCCCCAACTCCTCCATCAGGCTCACAGTTGTGCATTTCTCTGTACCATAAAATCCTCTTGAGAAATGGCAACTATGAAACCCTTCTTCTTATGCAACAGTTCTCACAACTCATGTACCTCGATTTTGCAATCACATCTTGGAAAATGTATTTTATTTATTTTTTTTGTAAACATGTTTTCAATCTAGTACGATGCGAAGCAGAGGTGTGACGCCGCCGTCAGGAGCAATAACTCTCGTGTTGCTGTGTTTCCTCGTCAGGCCAGACGGCGCTCCACATCGCCATCGAGCGGCGCTGTAAGCAGTACGTGCAGCTGCTGGTGGAGAAGGGAGCAGACGTGCACGCCCAGGCGAGGGGCCGCTTCTTCCAGCCCAAAGACGAGGGAGGGTACTTCTACTTCGGTAATAACTTCTTGWATGCAGCCTTCAGCGTGCTTCTGGATTTCCATTCTTGCAACATTTTGAGAAACTTGTGTCTCATACTAATCTCATACTGGTAATTGTCATGATGAGGTATGTTTGAGGTTTCTGTGACTTCACAGGCCACATCTGGGTTTTGTGCTCCCAACAGCTCCAGGTTAAAAAGAAAACCTGGACTCTTTTTTATTATATATTTATTTTATTTTATTTTATTTTTAAGCAGACACCTCTGCTGCCACATAACAGGAAGTGACATCAGTCCCCCACCCTTTTTAGCTTTTAAATGTGGCAGTTTTTGGCAGGATTAATACAGTCTGGATGTGGCTGAGGTGAACTCCACCTTATATCCAAATACATATTTTTTTAAACTGTCATTTTATGTGGCAAAAACACATAAGACAAGCACTGTTTTGTGTTTAAGCCATGAATCCAGTGAAAGGTGTTTGTGTTCAGCAGTTAGGAAAAAGTAACAACCTCAGCTGATCAGAAGAACTTCACTGACCTTAACAGGAATAAATGAACTGAACACTGCCCTCTGCTGGCTGCTGTTAGAACTACACCACTGTATGTCCCGAGGACCCATCTGTCTATTGATGTGTAGCTTTAATTTTTTGATGATAATTGTTACATAGAATTGATTCAGAAATGAGTCTTCTCGAGAGAAAGATAGATTTGGAATGTTCTGGGGTCTGTTGATGTCTTACCAAGCTCAAATTTAAGATTTGCTTTATTTATTTTTTGGGATTTTTTTTTAAATCAAAACATCACATCCCTTTTTTATCACAGAGGAGAGGATTTCTATTTTCACTGAGCATGGTTGTCATTCCCAAATCTCGGCGTGTCCGGGCACAGTGTGAGTAATTTGCTGCGGAGCTTTGCAGGGAGGTGAACAGGAACCTGGCAGGGCTGATGGCTAATRGGATTTGGGCTCACGCTAACTCTCTGCGTGCACCCGTGCAAATCCATGAAGAGGAGCGTTTCTATGTGAGGTGACAAAGTAATCTGTCACCCATGGCAACGGCTCATTTTCAGCAGCTGCTTTTGGCACTCTGGGCCCTCTGGGCCCCTCCCTCAAACAACCGTTAATTGTGCCACTTTCATGGCGGGGATTTAAGGCAGATCTTTGATCCACGTTTAGTCTGTTTTGTGAAAGGCTACAGATGCCAGCCACAGTTCCTAATTAACCCTCCTATTATACATTTCTTTTCGCCTACAAGTGCAGTTTTTATTGCTCTTCTGTGATTCCAAATTGACTTGAGTGCTCTTCCATTGTTCACCCAGGTGAGCTGCCCCTCTCTCTGGCTGCGTGCACCAACCAGCCCGACATAGTGCACTACCTGACAGAGAACCCACACAAGAAGGCCGACATGCGACGCCAGGATTCCCGGGGAAACACGGTGCTGCACGCGTTGGTGCACATCGCAGACAACACGAAGGACAACACCCGCTTCCTCACTAAGATGTACGACCTGCTGCTGGTGAAGTGCTCCAAGCTCTTCCCTGACTGCAGCCTGGAGACGATCCACAACAACGATGGGATGTCGCCTCTCATGATGGCCGCCAAACTCGGCAAGATTGGGGTAGAGAGATTTACTGCAGAATGAGTTTGTTCTTTCGCTTTGTATTAAAAGGTCAGCAGGTCAGCTTCTGTGTGTTTCTGCAGGTTTTGCAGCACATTATCCGGCGTGAGATCAAAGATGAGGAGGTTCGTCATCTGTCTCGTAAGTTTAAGGACTGGGCGTATGGTCCGGTGTACTCCTCGCTCTATGACCTGTCGTCACTGGATACATGTGGGGAGGAACCATCTGTTCTGGAAATCATTGTCTACAACAGCTGCAACGAGGTAAATTATGTTTATTATTTAGAYAAAGTGGAGTAATACATCCAGTGCTTGTTTTATTTTTTACATCACTGGGTGAGTTTTCTGTTTCTTCTCTTGTTGTCAGAACCGCCATGAGATGCTGGCCGTGGAGCCCATCAACGAGCTGCTGAGGACCAAATGGAAGAGGTTTGCCGCCGTCACCTTTTACATCAGTGTGGTTTCCTACCTCATCTCCATGATCATCTTCACCTTGGTGACCTATTACCACCCAACAGAGGGAACGGTTGGTGTGAACGTTTTAAAAATGCAATCCGTTGTGTTGTTGCAGAACGTCAGTGAAAAACATACAGGTTTTATTGCATGTTCTAAACAGCGCGCTGTACCACAGATTCAGTGTGCAGWTATAAACAAGGAGCCAATCATTGCGCCTCATTTGTCAGTTCAGATGCACTTCTAACTTTGCTCCTGTACACTGATATGCTCATTTTTAGGYTCTAAACTGGTGATTTTTAAACTTTTTACTCCATCTACCACATTATAAACTTTTTATTTTTTTACACTAAAGCCCAATTAATGGTGTTGCCTATAAGTCAGAGCATCAAGCTTAACATTTGCTATCAGCATGTTGGATTTTTATCTTATCTCTATCCTGATCAGTAAAGCTGACAGAATGATTTCTGCAAACACTCAACTGTGAAGCTTGAGAGATGTAAACTTTTTTTATAAACTTTATTCATTTCATAAAACATAAAACAAAATTCTATGTACAATAAAAAGAAAATACAAATAAAATGAAATGAAAGGTGGCAGAGAGAAGAAAAAAATCTTATAATATCTGCCCCTTTTTTCCCAAGAATAAGTTCATATAACAAAAAAATCCATTTTATTAACAAAACAAAAGNAGGAAGGCTTCAGGTGATTTTTTATAAACTTTATTCATTTCATAAAACATTAAACAAAATTCTATGTACAATAAAAAGAAAATACAAATAAAATGAAATGAAAGGTGGCAGAGAGAAGAAAAAAATCTTATATCTGCCCCTTTTTTCTCAAATATGGATTCAAACTACAATGATCTTCAGTTAACAAAACAAAAACATTGAAACTTTCTAAAACAACAAAGTGAATGACTACATCCTAAACCAACTTCGTCAACTGAACCAGTTCACGAGGGCCCATTAAACTCTCTACATACTTATTAAATCTCTAGTAATGCAGGGTGAGAAAACAAGTAATCTRAACAAAGTGGCCTGCCATTAGTCTAGTCTGGATGAAGATTTTTTGCCTCTTTCTTCATGCTCTCTGACTGTCATGGCTGATCATCTCTTTAACATTCTTCTTGTGAACCTTCTCTCTGTTGTTACTGTGTTGTTTTGTGTCGTCGTTCTGAACTCTGAGATCATATGTCTGTAAACGATGGTCAGTGGTTCAGTTTTGTTCTTTTTTTTTTTCTTCCAGCCTCCGTATCCTTACATCACCTCCTCTGACTACTTACGGATGGCGGGGGAGATTGTGATCCTGGCGTCGGGGATCTTCTTCCTTCTCACAAACGTGAGCCGACACACTTTCTGATGCTCTGCTGGTAATTACCTCTCGCAGTTATTGTTACAAACCTGCTACACTATTAAAATGCTTCTGTTTTGTTTGTTTATTTTATAGATTAAGGAAGTTTTCATAAAAAAGCGCCATGATATAAAGTCGTTGTTTATGGATGGATCATTTCAGCTGCTTTAGTAAGTCACTGAGCTTCCTTCTATATAACTCATATTGTGCATTCTGTCATTTGAATGCAATTAATTTCTTTAACTCCTCATTTTAATATAAAGAATGATTTCATGCACCTCTGTGACTCTTGATTAGCTGTGATGWTTACATTTAATTARAAATCCRCATTTGAAGAGTTTAATAACAGATGTGACTCACGGACAAAGTTCTTTYTTCTTTCCTCTAGCTTCATCTACTCTGTGCTGATTATAATCACAGCAGCTCTCTACCTGTCTGGCATCACAGCCTATGTCTCTGTGATGGTGTTTGCTCTGGTTCTGGGCTGGATGAACACGCTTTACTTCACCAGAGGCCTGAAGCTCACTGGCACCTACAGYATCATGATTCAGAAGGTGTGGCGATCAACACGAGCAACATCATCTCGCTTGAAGTTTTGTTGTGTTCTGATTTATAGTTGTTGTTTTTTTTTTGTTGTTGTTGTTTTTAGATTCTTTTCAAAGATCTTTTCAGATTTTTGCTGGTCTATGTTCTCTTCATGATCGGGTATGCTTCAGGTGAGCTAAAATGTCATCTATATCAGAGATTCTTAACCTAAGGGCCGCTGCCCAATTGTGGGCCGTGAGCACCACCTTGAGGGCCTCAAACGAACAACAGTTTTTAACTTTGGGCCGCAGAGGGCCGCAGGACCATTTTGAATAAGGTGCAATACACTTTCTCACCACTAGTAGCAGCAGTGCGCCACTCAGATTTTTAAYTACTTTTTTAATACGTAGAAGAAGAACCTTAGAAACCTGTCAMGAATGGAAACCTATTTTAAACTAGACATGGGTTTTTACGATGTAAAAACAAGTGTGCATTGCCACGTTAAATATTTAAAAACTATGGTGCAGTACCAAGTTGAGTACAGCTGGGGGCAGTATTTGACCATTACAAGGCCCCATTGACTCCAATTATATAAATTTAGAATAAAGTTTAAACATTAATATTTCAAAAACTACAAGTTGTATAGGCACCAGAAGGCAGCAGTCATTTGGCACAGGGGTTTTACAGATATAAATTACAATGGCAGCTCTAGGACAAAGTATGCAGGAGGAGAAGCATGGCAAAGTTGAGATGACTTGGATGGGAAAYGAACCACAATAGTGTGCATTGCMWWKGCAATGCACACTGATTAAAAGTAGAAGACAAAAATGAAGGTAACTCATCAAAAAATGCTAAAGTTTGTCACTAAAATGAAGTGCAGCTTCTGTTTTTACCATGCAATATTTTAAAAGTTCAAAACGTTATCAAATACAGTTGCAGATACAACTATATTCAGTGTGCATTGCATTGGCAATGCACACTATTGTGATTCGTTTCCCATCCAAGTCATCTCAACTTTGCCATGCTTCTCCTCCAGCAAACTTTGTCCTAGAACTGCCATTGTAATTTATATCTGTAAAACCCCTGTGCCAAATGA